CTCTATGACCAGCAACCCAGGAACATTTAAAAAGCTTTCACCTTCAATCCATTAGACATTACACTATGCTCCTATTTTTAAATACTGGTTCAATAAACAGTTTATGTGCCTGTGTCTACATCAATGTTAGGAACTATTAGATTGAAGAATACAAGTACAGCACAAAACAGGCAGTGTACATTGTATATAGTTTACTATTTCTAGCAATATTAATGCATACTCTACATATTGTATTATTTAGTTTTCCTTGGAATAAGCATGCATTTATGCAAGGAAAAAAAGTTGAATTTACTTTACCATATCTCTCATGAACAGACGCGTCTATATTAATATACATCATTGATTTAATTTTTAGTTTTCTTGGCTTCCCGCTCACCTATCTAAAAGTGATTTCTCTGGTGATAACTAACACATCATGCTAATGAGAGAATCTAATGTACAATAGAGAAATGTCACTACTAATAATATTTGCATGAAGTTAAATAAAGCAACTGTAAGAGAATGTCAGACAGTTGTTCTTTAATAAGATACAGTTACACAATGAAATTATGTTGTTAATTTTGTTACATCATTGAGTGAATCCTAAATTACTATATAATGACGCACAGATCCATTTATAATTCTGATATACTGCATTTTCACTCTCACATTATAAAAAAGCTTCTGGAAAGGCTATTACCTTTTTATCTGAAACAGATAAAACATATTTCTCTCTTCACAAAAAAGTATATGGCTCTGGCATTTTGTGTCACTGTGGGTTACAGCCATTTCTCTTACAGTCTCATTTCTGAAATGACTTAAAAGTATTTTAGAACATTACAGCCCTTAAGGTAACTGGATGAAGAAAAATGACATTTCTTATTCTGACAAATGCACAAAACATTTATGAAAGCAGACAATCACAAAAGCCTGCTTTTTTTAATCAATCAAATCCAGACCTTCTTTTCTGTTGTTAACAACTCCTTGCCAGAACTAGAATGGGCAGTGGGTGCCCTGGACTTAACCAGATGAGCATGGAAGAGAAGCCAAGGGTTTCTGCTCATTCTCGACCTGTCACGGATCAAAGTGATCCAAAGAAGCACTCCTTTTTAAAAGTTAAGATTTATGCCCTTTGAGGTTATCAGACATTCCTCTGTATACAGAATGGGATGACCCCTTTCAAGCGAATCACACACTTTTACATGGACAAAAGGTGCATAGGCAAAACAATGCAGTCAAGTGGCCATGTCATAAACTTCTCTCAGGTAATTTAGGAGACTATCCCTCTTCTCCTCTCACCCCACCAAAATCTAAATTTGCTCTGGAATGTGGAGATGCCATATTCTTGCACTCCCATTCTCTTAGAAAATAATCCAAAAATAAATACCATCATACTTGCTACTAATACTTCCAACCTGCATAATCAATCCTAATTTTTCTAAGACACATACAGTTCCTTGTCACAATGAAGTAGGCTTTCCTTTTATGCTGAGAAAAGTTATTCATTCCTACAGTATGCAAATAGCAGTGGAGTGTGAGTTTAGAGGTAAGAGGAGGGAGGGATCGCAAGGTTTTGTTTTGTTCTAAATCATTCTTCTTGCCACGCTCCAATCTTTGTACTAAAAACCTGCTTGAGATTAAGTTACAACTCCAAGGAAAAGTGATGGGGCTCGGGGTTTGTTTGCTTCTAAAAAACATGTGGAAAGCCAGCATTATACTTAGATATTTAAAAAAGAAATGTCTCTAACATTACTATGTATAGCTGGAAAAGTTTCATTAAACAGTTCTTTCAAACCATGCCAAACTTTGCTTGCAAGTTATGTACATTTCATAACTTCATGTTATTTGTACTCACAAAAACAATTTTTCTTAAAGCATAGGAAAAATTTAAAAAATACTTACATTTCCAGAAGTTGGATTGAAAATAATTAATAAATGAATGAAAATAGGTAACAGAAAACAATATTCAAAATTTTAGTGATTTAAAAAGAAAGATTGGCACTTAGACACAAATTTGCAGCTGCACTTGCACACAGTCTGTGCTTATACAATGCGCGAGCTAGCAAGTTATAACAGCCTTAACAAGTCAGAAATATAAGACAAAATATTATCCTTAAAGAGGAGAGAAAATCATTTTGCAAAATAACTTACCCTCCTCTTAAAAGTATGATGAAAACATATTTGGACTGAATATGTTTAGCACGTGATAAAGAAACAAACAAAATATGACAAGGAGATTCACACAGTACACGAACGCGTTAAGTACAGACTTTTAAGAAATAAATCTGTTCGACATTACCACCTTTGCAGTGCTACTGTGTGTGTATTCCAATGGAAGGATACACACTGATGCAGCATCTGCCACACATTTAGTCATTTAGTGCATTACTTCTCTCCTTCTATACAGAATACAACATGACTACGCGTGTTCAATAATGTACCAAATCTAGTTAATACTCAAGAATTAGAACATTTAAAATATTATTTTAAGAAAAAGAAAACAGAAACCAAACAGCCTAGC